CCCCCCTGCCGTGCCTTACCCCACACACAGTGTCACCTATGTCACGAGTTTTGCTTGTCCATAGCTTGAGGTGCAGTTTCCCCCAAGCCCCTGCACTTATCTCCTTGAAACTTGACAGGCTTTGTGACCTCAACAGTGGCTAGCATGCCTGCAGTTTTGATCCTGCTGTGGCTTAACATATACACGTGATGAATTTTTTGCTTTCAAGACTTTGAGGTGCAGTTTCCCCCAAGCCCCTGCACTTATCTCCTTGAAACTTGGCAGGCTTCATGCCCTCAGAAGGGGCCACCATTCCTGCAAGTTTCATCTAAATCAGGCCAGAAATGACAAAGTTATAGGCTGTTTGGAGCATCCCCATTATAGACTATGGGTGAAATGTCAGAACAGCGTTGAAACAGCAAAACCATTTCAACGAAACGAAGCAGAACAGCAGTTTTGAATCAAAATGAAATTTGAAACGCAATGCTGTTCCATCGAATAGAATGGTGCCATTTCACACAGCCCTAACAGGAAACCCAAATTACCATCTTTGTTCATCCATTGATTGTGGCATTCCCCCAACTAGTATGTAGTGTACCAGGTTCTTTATTAGCTCCTCCCTTGACTGCAAAAAGTCAGCAGCACCACCCTTGCATGCTCTCTTTCAGTAGAATCAGGTGATAGCCAAACCTTAAAATGCTCTCTCAAGAGTTGCTCCTCCACTTCCCTACTGAGGCCTATGGAAACTCTCAAAGGGAAGATAAGTTTTCTAACAAACCATACTGTCCCCAGGTACCTTGATCAATGAACTTGTTACCTATCCATCTATTCTTTGAAGACATGGCTGTAATTGTGCTCTAAGAGACATGGTATATCTACCCTAATGTCCTCCTCCAGACAAGAGAGGGGCTTCCTCAGGTACCTACAGGTGTTTCTCTTGAAAAGAATGGTTACATTCCTATAGGTCCTAATGGAAGTCAAGAAACTGGAAGATCATTTTCCACACTTCCTTTTGTAAAAATGGTACTGCTCATTGACAAGGTGATGAAGACTTGGCTAGATTCATTTGGCAAGCATCTGCCACAGCAGCCACCACCTCCTGAAAGACTGACAATACCAGCTTGGTGTCATTCACAAACTTCCTAAGTGAGCAGTCAAACCCTCCTTCAAATTGTTAATGAAGATATATGACAGGTCCAGGACGCACATGGGTAAACCCACTCAGTACCCCTTATAGTCAAAGTAATGTGCAAGTTGGCTGTAGGGTTCTGGTTTTCCCTAGGAGAAACACCAGTGGGCACATCTACATGAGATGCCATGTTGCCACAGTGATGAACTACGGTGACACAGCTCATTGCTATGGTGACAGTGTCGGCAGGAATAAACCATGAAACCACCACTACTGCACAGTAGCAATGAGCTCGTTGCTACTGCGCAGTAGGGTTGGAAACGACCCATGCAGCACCAGTGGTTACTGCACAGTCATTTAGTACTTGTTAAAGCAACTACTAAATGATCGCACAGTAACAACTGCTCAGTTGGGTACATGTGTAGACGCGCTCATTATGGAGGACTTGCTATTTAAGGAATCAGAATTATTTAGTTCCAAGACAAAAAATATCAGATTTACACAAAGAACCTTGTCTGCCTACGTCCTTAGACCAACACGGCTACAACCTATATCCCTTTTTCACTTCGAAGTACTTCAGGACAGTTCTCCATGCCCTCAGTATATATGTCAAAAAACCTACAAGGAACAGCTCACAACCACTGAAAAGAGGCAAATGCTTCATTGGTTTAAGACTGCTAGCTTCAACATCCCAACCTACTTCATGACACAAATCGGTTGTTCTGACAGGACTGTCAAAAAACTAGAATCAAATCAACCTTATAGATAAAGTAGTAGTAACACATCCTTTGGGAACCATATGGCCCACTGCAGAGACACATTCTCTTATTTCATCATGGACCAGTAAGTCAGTCACAGACACCATCACAGCTAGGTATTTTAACCTGATTCACTCACGGCCTACCTTTATTCTTCTACTTTTCTCCCCACCCTGCTCCTCTTCAAAGACTCTTCTCATAATGGCCTTCTACAACAAAAGATTATATCACTAGGAGAAACAGAAGAAGCTCCCCTTCATTACTAAGAAAGAGGGATCTGTACGGCATTTACTTTTTTGATCCCTAAGAGGAAAGGAGAATGGTGACCTATCTTGGATCTTTCAAGGGAATCTGAAGTTTATCCTCCCCTTGATAATCCCTTTCTAGGATTCAGGGAGCATCTGTTCACCTCCAGGCTGCATATATCCACATATACTCTGTGCTATGTCATAGGATTTGTGGTATGTCAAAATCATAACCATTACATGTCTTAACTTTTGGTGTCTCAGCTGTTCTGGGGTGTTCAAAGTACTTTAAATTTTAGGCAGCATACCCAAGGGTAAATGAAATTTAGGCACACACATACCTGGACAACTGCAGGCGAAGTGGAAATCCCTTCAACCAGGTCAAGGTGCCATTTACTATTACACATTTGACCTGCCGCAGAACCTGAAGCTGAAAATGAATTCATAAAAATCACACAAAATTCATCCCAGTTCAGAGACACTTCTACACTTGACAAAATCTGTGGCCTACCCCCCTCAAAACAGAACCCAATTAGTCTGATCCTATAGATAGCATGCAGTCCTATTTTTCTAGTCCTGCCAGGTCATACAGTCTTGTTTACCTTCGTAATGTCACATGCCAAACCACCTCCAATATTTGCAAGGGTGGCTAAAATCTGAGTTCTCCCCAAGCAAACATCCCTTGGACAAGCCCTTGATTGTGCTGCCATTATTGGTGTTGCCCCTGAAAGGATTAAGTAACCCTAAAAACACTTGCAGGGTAGCCCCCATCACTCCTGTCTAGAAATATAGTGATAGATGCCTCATTACAAAGGTTCATCTGTAGGGACTCTAAAGGCCCAGCAGAGAGCACAGATATATATCAACAGCTTCAAATTTAGAGCAGTCTGCAAGGCTTGGAAATCCTTCCAGCAGCAAATTTTGGGCCAGTCAGTACAGATGATGATGGACAATACAGTAGCCACAGTTGAGCCAGATCTTCCTCCCTTGTCAGGAAATGATCAAGCAGGAACTGGTGAATTAGATATCTGATATCTCTTTCGCTGGTCACTTAGATACCAGCAGAACAGCTTACCTTTCTCAGAATCACACTCCAAAGGTCCGTTCTTCAGGATGGTTTTCTTGTACGTGGTGATCTCTGATTGACCTGTTCATGACAAACCAACAAGAAGTCTTGAACCTTTGGTTTGAGAGGAGCCCTGAGTGCCCAATCCCTGTCAAATGACATTCTGATCCTGTGGACAGGAAAGTATTGGTGTCCATGTCAAGTGATCCTTCCAATTTCCAGGGTGTTCCCAAGACCAAAGAAGATTCAGACAAATTGATCTTGAAAATGCTTGTGTAGTGAGGGTTCTGGCTCCTAAACATTCTGTGCCTCTCACCCACTCAACACAAAACCATATCTCTTCTTCTAGATCAGTGGTTCACAACCTTTTTTTGCTGCAACCTGCTGCTGGGAGTGAAGTGCAGCAGTGGTGGTGCCCAGGGGTGTGGGAGCTCCTGACACATGGCATGCCTTTTGTGTGTGGTGCCGCTGGCATCGCCCCCACAACCTTCATTTGGGTTGCAACCCAAGGTTGGGAACCACTCTTCTAGATCCATTGTCACAGAACGCAGAAATGATCAACTCCTGGACCTGCTTTTCACTTGTCTGTGACATCTTGATCAATGATAAAATGTAGTAAAGTGGCAAAGATTACTGGACAAGATCTGTTCTAAAAGATCCTGGATTATATATGCAAGATCAGAACCAAGATCCTACTGCTTTTTGGAGTTGTAGCAGTTGGTCAGCTTATGCCTGTCAACAGTCTCAGCTGTCCATCAGTTGGATGACCAGTATCATTTCCCCACCATAAAATGGTGAAGTGCCTAAGATGATTCCACCTGGAAAAGATCTCATTTTGCTTTGAAACCTTAACATGTTCTTTTCCATTGGTCTCCTTTTAAACCAATAATATCATGTTCTTTCCTGCACATATTGGTTAGATATAAGCAAGAAAGGTACAAGGGATCCAGGTCCTGATCACAGTTTTCCATCCTAAGGTATTTTTGAGGATTCATCCCAAATCCTTTACTGAAAGACTTGATTCAGTGGATTGACAGTCTCATATCCTTCCGAAAGCCACGTGCGTCTGGAACTGAAGAATCTCTCTACGCTCTGAATACAGGCAGGGCCCAACTTTTACATGCAAAAGACAAGGTCATCTCCTTGGCTCTTTGCGACTATAGCAAATAAAATAAAGTACAAATAGATCTTTACTGAAAGTCTGTCCAAATGGATCTTTGACAGTGTAAAGACCTCTGAGGAGATGGCCCTGGTGTATTTGCTGACATCCATCAGATAAGAACATGTTCCTCAGAGCTTCAACTACACTAGTTTCCTCATTGGGAAATGTATCCATTTCACAAAGCAGCCACCTGGAGCTTTGGTTACATGTTTACTTAGCATTACACAACATCTGTACCATCTTTTGTGAACATTACATTCAGCAAAGCAGTTTTTCAGTCCCTGTTCTCTTGAGACTCACATTCTGTTTCCACTTGAATTAGTCCACTGCTTTGGAGTCACTGGTAGTGAAATGTGCATGTAGACAATCCTTCAAGCAGGAAGTCTTTTGAGACGTGTGATCCACATGCAACCCACCTTCCAACCCTTCTTCTTAGGGGTCTAATATACTCAGAATCACATTGTTGAGAGGAAACAGTATAGTCATTGCACTCTGCGCTTTGTCAGCCTGGTTGAAAATACAAGGAATACAAGGGTACATGCATGCTACATAAGTACTGCTGGCCAAAGTCTCCAAGCTAGGAAGCAGAGAGGCATGTTGCACATCAATAATGAAGCGTGCATGTGGAGAGCTCATCTCAAAAAACTCCAATTACTGTAAATAAAGTAATTTCACATTCTGGAACATAACAGAGGGATAGGGAATCATACTGAAGTCCTTCCCATATGAGGTACCAATTAGAATTTGATACTTAGCCACATGTGCTGGTAGGGATAAATACTTTCTACAGTAAAAAACAAGAGACATGCCAGTTAGAATTGTTGCTGTTGCAGATTGATTCTTCATTTATATGCATTTCCTCTGCCCATCTTTCTTTTTTTTTTTCATTGCAGGCCCTTTCAAACCATGTGATCATCTGTTTGGTAGCTGGCTGATCAGAATTGGTGTTTGGACCATAGTGGTTTTGGCCTTTATTTGTAATGCACTGGTGACTGCAACAGTCTTCAGGTCTCCATTGTATATTTCCTCTATAAAACTTTTGATTGGACTCATAGCCATTGTAAACACACTAATGGGTCTGTCCAGTGGAATACTGGCTAGTGTGGATGCATTAACTTTTGGCAGTTTTGCTCAATACGGTCCTTGGTGGGAAAATGGAGTTGGTTGCAAAATCACTGGCCTTCTCTTCATTTTTGCTTCAGAAACTTCCATTTTCCTCCTTACTTTGGCAGCTTTGGAACGTGGCTTCTCCATAAAGCAAGCTACAAAGTTTGAAACAAAATCCTCTGTTGCTAGTGTAAAAATAGCCATTTTCTTTTGCTTTATTTTGGCATTGGTAATTGCAGTGGTGCCACTGCTTAGTGGGGGTGAGTATGGGGTTTCTCCACTTTGTTTACCCCTGCCATTTGGAGAACCGACAGCTATGGGCTACATGGTAGCTTTGGTCTTGTTGAACTCCCTTTGTTTTCTGGTGATGACTGTTGCCTATACAAAACTGTACTGTAGTTTGGAAAAGGGAGAACTAGACAATATTTGGGACTGTTCTATGGTCAAGCACATAGCCTTGCTACTCTTTACTAACTGCATTCTTTATTGCCCTGTGGCTTTTTTATCTTTTTCTTCTTTACTAAACCTTACTTTTATTAGCCCAGAAGTGATTAAATCAATACTGCTAGTCATTGTCCCATTGCCAGCATGCCTAAACCCTCTTCTTTATATACTTTTCAATCCCCATTTTAAGGAAGATCTAGGAAGTCTCCGTAAGCAAACTTTATTATGGAGAAGATCAAAACACACAAGTCTGATCTCTGTTAATTCAGAAGATGTAGAGAAACAGTCCTGCGATTCAACACAAGCTTTGGTAACCTTTGCAAGTGTTGGTATATCATATGACCTGCCTGCCAGCAGCTCACTAACGCCATCTTATCAAATGACAGAAAGCTGTAACCTTTCATCAGTAGCATTTGTTCCATGTCGGTAGTTTCAGTGGCAAAACAAAAGTTATCTATATGTTTACAAAATTTCCAGTCCCAAAATTAAGGATGGGTGTGTGTACATATACTAGAAAGCGGGGTCAAAGGTGCGCTTGATTCCTGTTACACACAGCTCCAAGTTCCTGGCAAAACTGGCAACAGGCTGAAATTCCTGCTTATAAACTCTCTCAGCCCAATGAAGTTTGATATAAAGAGGGAGCCTGAAAACTGCCAGTATTTACACAGTTGGCTCAGTTCTTTTAGAGAGAATGTTAAAAATGCATCTCTTGGTCAACAGCAAAACAACACATTGAAGCAATAGACTTCTTGGAGGCATGACCAATATTTTAATTAAGCTATTAACTAAGCATATTGAGTTAGAGAATTTAAAAAGTTAAAATGACAAAGTTCTCCAGCTAACAGAGTGAATTTGAGATCTAGATTCCCTGAATATTGTTAAATGCTCTAGATAGGTGGTGGCATGTGGTTCTTAAAGTGTGTTTCAGGGGAGAGATGGAAGCTGCCTATGTTCATGATTCAGCAAAGTATTGAAGCAAAGTATTGAAACTTAAGCATGCAGATAATCATGCTGAAATCCCAGGGGCTTATGAAAAACAGATCTCGTCAAAGTAATTTGATACTGTTTTTAAAAGCAGTTACAAATGCAGTTGATAAAAGTAACATTTATTTAATAATTCAAATGGGACCATAAGACATCTTCATAAACTAGAATAAAACAAAAACAGAATGGTACATAAAAAAATTATTGAAAAGCAGCTGACTAGTTTCAATTCAGTCATAAATGGCAAATCAACAATCAGTGGGAAAATGCATGTTTTTCTTGTAAGGCTCCTTATGGATCTTGACTCAATATTATTTGTATTTTTAATCAATAAGGAAGACAAAGATCAGTACTGATAAGGTCTTTAGATGAAACACCCCAGGAGAGGAGAAAATGGTGGGGAAGACAGGTTGCTGATACACAATGAGCTGAATCAGTTGGTAAGCTGAATGCAAGCAAATAATTTGTATTGCAAAGAAACAATTGTAAGGTCAAGTCATCTTGGAAAAAGGGATGTAAACTTTGGCATGGGAGAAACCCTCTCCTGGGGAACAGCAATTTTTTTGGAAAAGATGCCTGTCGTGTGGATAGATGGCCAAACAATCTCGCTATGCAACTAGACCAAAAAGGTGTACAGATCTTTTCATGTGTAGGCAGGAGAATATGAAGTAGAAATAGAAAGAACATATCTATTTGGCATTTGTTGTGACTGATAATGAAATAGTGCATCAAATGTGTGTGTCCACACATCAAGGACAGATAAAAATTGGGGAAGCTTCAGAGAAGAACCAAAAAGAATGATTACAAGTTTAGAAAATCTGGCTTATAGCAAGAAATCCAGGAGCTCAATATTTTGATCTTATTAAAGAGAAGGTTAGTAGATTATTTGATCACAGTTTGTAAGTATCTGCATGAGGAACAGAAATATGTTCATAGATGTTTCTTTAATCTAACAGACAAAGGATGGCATGATCCACTAGCTGGAAATTGAAGGTAGATAGAAGTTCGGACTAGAAATAAAGTGTAGATTTTTAACAGCAAGAGTAATTAACCACCCAAATAATTTACAAAGGCTGCAGTGGATTTGCTATCATTGGGAGTCTTTAAATCAAAATTAGACATGTGTTCTTAAAAAAAAAAAAAAGTTCTCTAGTTTAGCTATAGCTATTGGACTTGAAGGAAGAATTAATTTAAGGGAGGTCTTTAGCCTGTGGCTCATAAAAGCTAAGAGTAAATGGCCACATAAAAATCAGTGAATTCCTTGCTGAATCAGAACCATCATGATTAGAGAGGAGACCCCCAGCACCTTGCCTACTTTATTTTTCAAATCTTCTAAGCAACATAGCTCCCACTGCTTTGTTTGGAGACTAGCATATACCTTGATCTAACTTCAATCCCATTTTCCGAGAGATGGCCCCTTTTCTTCAATGAGCAGATCAAACAAAATGCTGTTATGCATATATTCAGAAAGGGGGGGGAGGGGGGGAGACTTCCATAAGCAAAAATTTTGAATGGGCCAGTACCTACTACTTAGGTTAAAGGTCACTCCAAGCTCCAGGTGGGCAAAAGTATATTTTGAATAACATTAAATAACATCTGAATAACATAACAAGGTGAGATGAGCCAAATAATTTAAGGTAACCAATTACAGATGATTGATCTTTATATGTTACCACATATGTAACTGACTGTCACCCAAGGATGAGTTTCACAAAGAAAAGTCTGTCACCAGCTTCAGACACATCTAGAAATACCAGCGTGAATGAAGAAAACACATTATTTAGCTTTGTAGTTACAGATGGCATCAGGTTGACTTTGGCTGACGTGCATCCTTGGGAAAAAAAATGAACAAATGGAGAAATTATGTATGATAAAGCTGGCTGCGTGGTTATCTTAATCCTTTTCTCCTGTGGCTTTTGAAGCAGTGCAGCCTGCAGCTGGAAAATGATTCCTGAAACCACTTTGGATTAAACAGAGGATCAATCGACCATTGCACAATGCTTATTACCATGTTTATTTAGCTTTATTTTAACGTGAGTCCATCTGTGCTGCACTGCTTGATGTCAGTGAAATTCCTTTCAGCTCGCTATATTTAAGAAGTTTGTAAAATGATTTGAGAAACAAAATAATGTTATAAATCTAAAGACTAGTTTAAAAAGCTACTTCTATTAGAACTTTTTTACCTTGCAGAAAGTCCTAAATGAAAGACTATACGTCTTATTTTTATAAGCATGTTTGAATTATTTTGATCAGATATTTTAACTTGGAATTGTTAAAATTCATTTAAGAGATTTTTTAAATAAGATTTGTAAATATAGAGCTGTATTTATTACTACAGTAAAATACAACCATGCTAAAGGATGTGAGAATAAGCCATGTACAGTTTCATACTGATATTTGCTATATTTTCTATTTTCTGCTCATATTTTACTAAATTCATTATCTGTATATATTATATGTAAATGTGTAGTGACTGTAAATAGATTACATACTTTCTTTTCTATCAGTGTTCCAAATATATATGTAATTTGTAATAAAAATTCTGACTAAACATTGGAAAGCATTTCACCAGGGTCTGAATCATGTACAGCCAAAATTAGTCGTTACCAAATTTTTCAAGCATACGTTCTAATTTACCAGAGTAAGATTTCTGAAATTCTAGCCAGAATTTGAAATCAGAGGTAATTTGTTCCTATTGGGGTTCTGTGAGAACAGAAGAAATCTAGAATAGGGTTGTAGTTCAACATAAAAGTAAGTCTGTTTACCAAAGATCCTCCTCATCTCCCTTATTGATCATCCTGCAGCATTTTACAAGGCTAAGCAGCAGGAGACTAAAAGGAATGGAAAGATGTAAAATAACTAGAAAAAAAGCAACATTGCAAAAGAGAATTAGAGCTTCTGAGTACATTCAAGCAGGATGTCAATATACATGGGAGTCTGCTGCAAAATTCTCAGGTATGAACAGAAGTTAGAAGCGCCTTATACAGGTTTTAAGTATAAATGATAGAAGAATAGAAAGCAAATTGACAGTTGATTGAAACCAGGTAGGAAGGTAACTGAAGAAAATTAATCTTGCAAAGGGATTTCAGGGCAGAAAGGTTACAAGGGACACAGAATCAGAAAAGAGTGGGGCGTGAGGAAGTCTTTTGTGAGAAAGTGAATTCCTGGAGAATGACATAGCAGAGCAGGTGACAGAGCCCAGCACATAAGCCAAGGAGGAGATGCCTTCTACAGATAAGACAGGCAGAAAGCATTTTGTAAAACACAAAAGTGAACACATGGAACTTAAATTTGATGTGAAAAGAAGTTGGAAACCAGTGTAGGCAGGGGGGTGAGACAGGCCAGAAAGGTGGTTTTGGTTGAATTACCCTAACTGCTCTTGTGGGAGGAATGTGAGAACAAGTTAGGCTGTAACAGAGGAAGGGGACATTACAGTATCTGAAACAAGAACTACTAGAGGGATGAATAGGGTTTTTAGCCATTGAGATGTAAAAATGGGATGGATTTGAGGGGAAATGAACATGATTTAATGATAGGCTGAGCATGGGAGGAAGATGAGAAGGGAGCAAAAAAATGGCATCAAGCTTGTGGGCCCAGATAACTAGAAGGATAACTATGTTGCTCCTCTTTTTTAATTTTGTTGCAGTAGTGCCTAAGGGAATCAGCTTTTGATTTGGTACTCATTGCACTGTACAAACATAACAAAAAGGTGGTGCCTTCCCTGAAGAGCTCACAGTCCAGCCATGATGGTATTATCAGTGATATTACCAGCAAAGGAAGGATTTAATTGGAAGAAATTACGGGTACACTATATTATGAAGATTATTAATTTATATAGCTCCTAGACAAACTCAACCATGTTAGGGCCCCAATGTGATAGATGGTTCAATAGGTGCAAACCAGTTTCTCATAAATTGCAGATACGAGACTAAACAATACGAGAGGGCTAAAACAGCAGAGACAGAAATGAAAGCCATCTGGGCTAATACAGGAACACAGGCCTAGAACTCATCAAGGCAAGTTGCTTGCATTCTGGGCAGTCCAGAATGACCTGGCTTGGTTGAAGGCAGGCTGGTGCTAGGACCTGGCCATGGATGCTTCCAGTTCTCCCTGCCACCACTTGTTTCTGCTACTTAGCTACAGAATGGCATGGATAAAGCAGCCAGCTGCAACATGGCACAGAAAGGCATGGGCAAAGCCCCCACTGCCAAAAGCTGCTAAAGCTCCTGCTCTCTGGGCCAGAACCAGTGGCTTCCCAGACCAGATCCAGCCCACAGGTCATAGACCACCTAAAAGGTCCAGAACATCATATCTGGCCTCTATCACATAATGTAGCCACAAAGCACCTTATTAAAACATTCCATATCACATGCCATAGATAAAGAATAGAAGAAATAATGGCACACTTCAAGAAAAATGGAAAGGACCAACATAAGCCTTAAACTAATGGGGATTATCCCAGGTTCCCCTTATCTGTGCCAAGTAAAAACAAAAAGTTGCAACTGCATAAAATAACTTTTAAAATCTAGATGCATCTGCCTTAACCGTAGGGCTAGGGATAGACTTTCAAAAAGCTGGAGCCTGAATTGATTCAATATTTGCAGGTTAATCTAATCTGCAAAGTGTGAACTGATTTGGAGGTGGATAGACATTCCCTTTTCATTCCAGAAATGCAGGCACATGCCTGCAGTGGCTCAAGCTAGAAGCCAGGGAGGTGCTAGAGCAGCCCTCCCTTCTCTTCCATAGTGCTGAGCTGAGGTGGGGCATGGCCAGGCCTGGGCAGGATGTTCTGATTGGGGAGGAGTCTCCCGCAAGCAGCCCAGGAGAGAGTTGATAGCAGTGTTTATCACCCCTAACTCAGTGTTTATCAGCCCATTAAGAAAACAAAAGCTCCTCTCATTAGTTCAAGCTCTTCTTAAACAACTGTTTCCAAGGAAGGAATGGAGGGACATTACCAGCTACCTGTTGATTAACTCCAAAATGCCCTAAGCTGACACTATCCTGTCTACCTTTGTCTCATTCCCCACAGCATGGACTGTAGTCAGCATGCGGTCTGCTAGCTAACGCTGAGAGGTATCTGTGTAAGGCAGAGAGGGGAATCACTGCTTCAGCAGGGAATGGTGAGGGGGAGGCAGGAAGCAGGAGGAAACCAGGCAGATGCCCTGTACCTGCAGTCTCTGCTGGAGCTGCAGCCAGGGAGCAGAGGGGAGGGACCAGCCCAGCTCTCTGAAGCAAAGAACCCCACCCAGCCCAGAATGTATGCCAAGATGCTGGGGACTCTGATTTAACTTAAACCAGCAAGGGGTCTGGGACAGACATTGCATAAACTAGTTTGAGCCAAATCAGTTAAGTTTGATACTACATTCAAACAGGTTTATCTCAAACTGGTTTCAGCCATTTTCAAACTGGTTTATGTACATTGAATATCTGTTCTGTTACAGGTTTAAACCAGTTTCTGATCACTTAAACCAGTCTGTGTGTAACATCTGTCCCTAGCCTAGGAGTTTTATCCCAGCTCCATTCTAAGGTTACTTCTTCTTGGTTTGAGACAGCTACATGCCAAGGAATAGCTGTCCTGGTATAGAACTGTGGTGGGTACCTCCAAGGCTTTTGCTGTGATCTTTGTTTTAGGGCAACTCCATTTATGGAATCATCATCAAATAAACATTGGCAGCAGAAAAATAGTGGAGGACAGTCCCAAAAGAGATGTTCTATGAGAAGTTACAGGAGACTAAATATTTAAACAAACATAAAACCCACAAGCTGAGTCATAACTCTTACCAAAGTCACCCTCTAGTGAATCAAGTGTTAGAATCTGCTTTGCTCTGCAGGGCTGCCTCCAACCACTAATTACATTCATTTCTTTTTCTGCTAACACATCAAAACACTTCTGGTCTTGAGCTCTGCAGCCAAGGAGCCTGTCTAACCCAGCAAAATGGGTTAACCAGCCTGTCAGAAAAGTCAAGGATAAAGGTCTACCTGAGCATAGCAGCTGATTGGGCTATTGTAGTTAAGAAACTAGCTTTTGTACCAAATGGCATGCCAGAAGCAGCATTACATCTGGCAATATTGTATTTCCCAGCCCAAGAGACCAGGTACACATATGCAGCTGGATCAAATGGAGGCAGTTTTTGATGGGAGTCCAGTGAAGCTCAAACCCATGCCTCGAGCTGTCTGAAGATACTTCCACCCCTCTGTCACTGTGCTCCTCATCCACACAAAAGTGCTATTTAATTATAAATTCTGCTGTATTTTCTAGCATACAATATGCACCTTT